TTAAAGTACAGCTATAATTCTATCATCCTGCTTTAGAAATTTATGATTTAAAAATGTCACACAAAGCCACAAAGAAGCTTCAGCAGGTAAAAACACCTGTCTCCAAACCTGATGACTGGAATCTGGTCCCTGGGACCTACATGGTGGAAGATAAGAACTGATCCCTGCAGGTTGTCTTTCTGACCTTCACGTCTAAGTTTTTAAAAGATGTTTAAAAGAACGTCACATAAATTCTGAAGTATATCTTTCAGGAGTTATATATTCCTAAAATCTTTTCTATATACTATTGTATGACAAGAACATGAATTTTTAGATAACTCCCAATTTATAAAATATTTTCATTCATGTTATATAGCCCAACAGTTTTTCAGAAGACATATGTATTGTCATCAATTATAATCTTCTCCAATTTGTAAATACAGACTGCAAACCTTTCCTCTTAACGTGCCATCATCAACTGGGAAAGAAAAGAACAGAGAAGTTTAAGAGTTCTCAAATCTTCTTTGATGAGCTTGATAGGAATGAGAAGGAAGGTGAAATCTTTTCTTAATTTTCTGAGATGTTTCAAACCTTCTACCATGGCACTGTCTAGAGAGACAGAGGCAGTGATGAAACAGCCTGCATGGACACTGCCCAACATGCACCATGCAGTTGCTAAACATCTGCAGAATGTCCAGTGAGGTTAAAAACCTCAAGTTTTAATTTAATGTAACATATTTGAGAACAAATGTCCAATGAGTAAACTATACACTAAAAAGTTGACCTCTACTAATTTAGAGTAGAAAATCAAAATAAATCCTGAGAAGTGGCCACAAATGACAACTTTGAACTGTAATTTAATTTACTAAGAATACAGAACCTAAAGTCACTAACAATTTGAGAAAATTCAACTGCTAATTCTATACTAACAAGGGGCAATATGAAAAGGAGTTCTTTGTGATTTCCAAGTGAATGAGCAAACAGAGGAAGAAAACCATTACCATGTTCAATATCATTTTTAAAGTTCATTCTAAAAAGAATGTTGAGAATGGCCTGTTACTCTTGAGTCTGTTCACATTGAAAAACAAAATCCTACTGTTCTGGGTAAAATACCCCTTTCAATAAAAACCAATACATACTTATAGCCCAAGCCCCTAGCCCTTGTCACCAACAGCAATATATGACTAAGAATGGAAATAATACCTCGTGTCTATTTAGGTCTCATTATAAAACAATGTTACGCCGGGCGGTGGTGGCGCACGCCTTTAATCCCAGCACTTGGGGGGCAGAGGCAGGTGGATTTCTGAGTTCGAGGCCAGCCTGGTCTACAGAGTGAGTTCCAGGACAGCCAGGGCTACACAGAGAAACCCTGTCTCGAAAAACCAAAAAAAAATAAAAAATAAAAAAATAAAACAATGTTACATAAATCCCAAATTCTAACCATCTGTTAACAGCATGACCAATTTTTCAGATTCACTTATCTGCAGAATGTCCAGTGAGGTTAAAGACCTCAAGTTTTAAATTAATGTAACGTATTTGAGAACAAATGTCCAATGAGTAAACTATACACTAAAAAGTTGACCTCTACTAATTTAGAGTAGAAAACAATTCAGTTGAGCGCCCATACAAATGGAGTGCCAAGCAGACACGTTAAAAGAATAAGAAGTTAAAGTTCTCATGTGCTGATAAGGAAGGAAACCCCTCAGAATCCTGTGAGTGATATGCCAATGAAAAGTACAGACATTGCAAATGTTAGGAGTGAGAGAGTTTAGTAACAGCTGTGAATGACGTTACCTAAGAGACCTGACACAATGACTATCTCCATCCATACCAATAAGCACATTTTAGCTATCTGGCAATGAGGAACCAGTAATGTCATTTTACAAAGGGAGCAAGAAGTTAATATCGCATTTGAAAAGATCACCACAAGTATCTTCCGTGTGTGTGTGTGTGTGTGTGTGTGTGTGTGTGTGTGTGTGTGTGTGTCTCTGTGTCTCTGTCTCTCTCTCTGTCTCTCTCTCTGTCTCTCTCTCTGTCTCTCTCTCTGTCTCTCTCTCTCTCTCTCTCTGGCTAAATTTGCCCCTGGGTGTTTTGAAGATCTCAGTATTTCTTTCTCTATATCTCTATCTCAATCTCTGCCTTTTGTACAAAGTTTAGTTTCAATGTAGACTATAGCTCCTTTGTAAACCAATTAAAAATTTTTAATTAAAAAAAAAGAAAGAAAAAGATCACCACAGAAACTATATTAAAACAAAACAAAACAAACAAACAAACAAAAAAAACAAAGAAGATCCAGGCTACAGCCTGTCCAATAAAGTTACTGTGGCCTCTGTATTACTGGGTAAAACCAACAGTAGAATGTATATACTTCTCAAGTATCTCAAGACAGACCACTATCTGGCCATAAAAGACACCTTAACACAGTAATCAAATAGTATTTACTCTGACAACAGTTAAAACTAGAAATCAATTAACAGCAAAAACAAACTAGAAATATCCTTCCATCAACTATTTGTCAACTAAACTATGCACTTCCAAATAATGCATAGTTCTAAGAAATCAAAGACATAAGGAAAGAGAATATAATTAAACATTCAACTAGTGACACATCTGAAGCAGCACTTAGAGGAAAACTCACAGTACTGGTGTATGTCAGGAGAGAAGGTCTGAAATCAACAATCTAATGAAACTAACTAGGGAGAGCTACACACTAGAAGAGAACAACACACACATACACACACACACAGAGTTACAACAAATCAATGAATTGAATACAGTAAGTCAGGGGCAGGAGAGACAGCTCAGTGGTTTAGAGCACTTGCCGTTTTTTCTAGAGGATCTGAGTTCAGTTCCCAGCAACCACAGCCGATGACTTACCATCACCTGCTGCTCAAAGGCCCTCTTCTGGTCTCTGCACTACTCCACACTCACATGCACACACTGCCCACAAAAACACACATACACACACATAAATCTTTAAATATATATATATAAAAAACAGGAATCAGCAGAAAAAAATAAAGTTTCCTTACAATATCAATAAAATCAGGAAGTCACTCCTGGAGGGAGGTAACAGAGCATGGATTCAACACATAAAGTCTCAGTTTTATAGGACAAGGAAGTTCTAGAGATGACTTGCTATACAACACTGCAGATACAATTTAACACTACTCTGTAAGCTTAAGAATGGTAAAGGTAGTAACAAAACCACAAACACACACCTATAGCCAGGCTAAGAGACAAACAGACTACTAACATCAAACACAAAAGCAACTCCATGTGCATTCAAAGGATAGAAAAGAAGAAAAAGGAGGAGGGGAAGGAGGAGGAGAAGGAGGAGGAGGCAGAGGAGGAGAAAGAAGAAGAAGGGAGGGAGGGAGTGAGGGAGGGAGGGAGGGAGGGAGGGAAGGAAGGAAGGAAGGAAGGAAGGAAGGAAGGAAGGAAGGAAGGAAGGAAGGAAGGAAGGAAAACTGGAAACATTTGTGTCCAATAATTGGAAAACTTTGACAGAATTGACTTTTTTTTTTTTAACAAGCTGCCAAGACTCATAGAAGAAATAGATGATCTTAACAGGCCTGCATCTATAAGAAAATTTGTCAAAGATTTTCTAAGTCTTCCAAAACAGAGAGCATCAGGTCCTGGTGAATTCGAGAAAGCATTTAAGGGGTAAATTTATCAGTTGTCTCCGATCTTTTCCAGAAGACAAGAACAAGGATTAACTCATTCTGAGGGAAGAAATACAAAACACCAAAACTAAACAATGAGACATTACAGGGAAAGAAAATTACATACCAGTCTCTCCCGTAAGTTGTAAAAAATAAAGTGTTATCAAATCAAATCTAGCAATGTATAAAAACAATTATACTGGGATTTAATGAAGGCATGAAAAGCTGGCTCAACACTCAAACAGCAATTCATATAATCCATTATAAACGGCTTCTGCAATGGGCTAGGTACAAATCGGTACACATATGCATAACTGTAAATGGTTATCCAGTTAGTCACACTGTTTCAACACGTGGTATATAGCAGACCATAGACAACACTGCTGCCTTCTAGAACCCACAATGTATCAAGAGAGATAGACATTGAGTAAGTCACCACAAATCTCTATCTTAGGGTTCAACTAGAGTTCCAGGAAGTGACAGGACAGTGATAAAGATGCACTATCTATGCTGAAAACAGCACTGAGTTTTGGCTGAAATATTTATTTAGACAGATATCCAATGATCCTCAAAGAAAAAGTGCTGCATTATAAATAAAGGGAGAAAAAAAATGCCTTAGGGTCTAGAACCAGTGGTGGAAGAGCTAAGACTCAAAATATGGTTCTGGTTTTACTCATCAGAGTGAAAATAAAGTAGACAATTAGGTATGGTGTCAGCAACCCTATAAATATCAATACCAGGGGCGGTGGAAAACAGAAGCAAGAGGATTGCCAAGGGGTTTGAAGCTAGCCTGGGCTACATAGTAAGGACGCAGGGCAGCATGGGGTGTACAACAAGACTCTTTGCAAAACAAGCAAAATAAATAAAAATAAAGGTGGAGGAAGAGAAGACATGAATGCCTAAAAATGAGTTTCTTGGAGCTGTGTAATTTGAGCACCAAAGAGGCAGAGGCAGGAGGATACCAGCAAGTTTAAGTTTACTACTTAAATTTACCCACAGTAAATTCTAAGCCAACTTGGGCTACATACCAACAGCCTGCCACAAACAGATCAAGTTCCAAGACAGCAAGAACTACATAAAGAAACCATCTCCAAAAATCAAAACGAAATGCTAATCACAGTGTCTTTCAAAAGCAAGCACTTAAAATCCAGTACACACATAACCATTACCAAAGAATAAATGTTGGAAAATAGAGTTCAAAAATAAGGACATGCAAAAACTTCTGCCTTTCAAATATGATAGCTGTCCACAGCTTAAAAAAACAAACAAACAAAAAAAAAACCTGACTAGCCTTTAACCATTGTAATTTCTTTGGTGACTTCTAGGACTGTTTACCATTTCTAGCTTCGTACTTACAGGGACATTAAGTGCATACTGCAGTCCTTGAGGAAGCCGCTCGTGGGTGTCAATCTGCTCTTCATCATTCTTCACTGTCTCCTCGTGGACCATGAGTTCATCATGGGATATCATATCCTGCTGTCTCATTTCACTCTCTTGTAACACTTCATCTGCAGCAAGGATCTCCTGGTGAGGCAAACTTCGATCTTGAAGTACTGACTCCTGCAGTTCTCCAGACACAGCGGACTGGCCGGACACTCCACCCATTACAACCATTGCCCTGGAAGACTGCATTTCGTCTATGCCGCCACATTTAAGAAACAATCCTTCCAGTTTGTCGTCAATGTTCATGCTTAAGTATAACTGCCTAGAAAAACCAAGTTTGGCAACAAAGCATAAAAAAATTAGTTTATATGTCCTACTTGGTAGTTTTTTTATTTCAAATTATAAAAGATTTATATTCAAATAGAAAATTTTTATTCATCTAATTCATATAATTACCAAGACTGACTTCCAGAGGCTAGAGAAGTAAAAACAAGTTTTCATTTTGAAATTAAGGCATAATCCTAATATATTTCATTACTAAAAATGAACTTTACACAAAACAGATTAAACGAAGTATTTATAGCTTCAGCCCAAGAACTTTCAGATTTGAACATATTATAGTGTCATAAACTTTAAAAGGATGAACTTTGTAAAACATAACCGACAGAGAACGCTACGAGGCACAGCACAGATGCAAACAGAGATCCTCATAGCTCCTAAGTGGGGATGTGATGCAGCTCAGTTACAACAGTGCCTGGCTGCCATGCACGACTAGTCCTCGGCTCAGTAAACTCCAGCAGCACATACGACAGGCACAGGATATGCACCAAAGGTCTCTAAATCACATACAACAAATGTAACCCTTGGTCCCTGAGTGGAAGCTCACAAGTAGGAGGGTGCTGTTTTGGTGTCTCTCCTAAAGACAGTTTTGAAGACCACCTTCGGTTTCATAATGCAAGACCAACATGTCATTAGATCCCAGTCCCTATGAAGGATGTCATCAAGGGAAGGACCTTTTCTTAAATGAACACTTCATGGACCTCTATGATCAGCGGAGTGAACAAAGGTCTAATTCAGACTTGCTTTTCTTGCCTTCCTGGTACCTACCAGATATTATCAGTCTGAAAAACATATGACCAAAGAGCAGCATTTGATTTTACTTTTCAAAATCTTCACAGAGCAAACAAACTCTTAAAGGTCAATCGTTTTGAACATCTTACCAAATAGCTGCTATCTTCACATTCTGTTTTATACATTTCTTAGAAAACAAGTTTACTAAGTGAATCTTGTTTAAAGGACTAAAAGTTGATTATTCTGGCCAATTATTTAGAAATTCTGGCAAACTATGATGTTTCTACTGTTTTCTCAAGGACTGAAACCCCCCCCCCCAACTTACAGAAATTTACACATATACAAGACATCCTTTACTGCATTGACTGCTGTCACAAATTCCATTATTTTAAATAAAAAAAAAAACAAAAAAACGGGTGGTGGTGTACACCTTTAATCCCACCACTCGAGAGGCAGAGGCAGGAAGATCTCTCTGAGTTCAAGGCCTGCCTAGTCCACAGAGTGAGTTCCAGGATAGCCAGTGCTACACAGTAAAACTGTGTCTGGGAAAAACAAAAACCTGTCAGTTTTAGAGAATATGGAAGATTTAAAAGAAATTTAAAATAAAATAAAAGACCAGCCTAAGTAAGTGGCTTAGGGACAGTTTTGGGGTTTGTGCTTTATCAATAGCAAAGCATCCAGCTAATCTGATACTCCAGATAAGACTAAGTTCTCCTATTGTAGACAATCTTAACTGCCATAGTTTTGATCAACAATTGAAAATCACATTCTTGTACTTGTATTAACTGCAGGACCGGGAGGGCCGCAAAAATAAATAAAGTATAGCATCAAGTTAAACAGTAAGATTCAAAACAGCACTTTAGACAACACTATTTGGGGTGGGGGAAGCACCAAAGACTTCAGTTAGGGTCTTAGAACAGAAAATAGCATGTTTCAAGCAGAGAGTATTAAAAATAAGGAGACACAGTCCAAGTAAAAAACAAAAAACAAACAAAACAAAAAACAGCCCTGGCTCTCAAAACTCTTGCTGAGATCAAGCCTATACAGAGATGAAGGCCCCCTCCTCACCCATGGTTACTTACTCATACACCAGAAATTACGACAGAAACTTAGACTTAAATAACTACAAACTATGGACACAGCTTTCCTGCAATATCAGAAAATACTTTTCTATCGATGGTCACTGTTCAGACTTTAAAATAAGCCTTGAAAATATCTATCAAAAGAAAAAGTGTGTACTCTTGACCTAGATTTGGTTTGACTATGAATTGCTCCCCTAACCCCAAGAGGAGTATTTATTAAAAGGTTGGCAGCTCAATGGGGGTGGTATTTAGGGAGGTTCTAGAAACTTCAAAGCAGTGAGCTGAAGGAAGCAGATCATGGGGCTGGGTCTCTGTGGAACAGTATCCCTATCCTCCTCGGCTCACTCCTTCCAAATATTACTGACTTGTTTTGCCCAAAACCATATTTTTTCTTCAAGTCCCTTTGACAAGTATGTGATTTAAGTGGCCACCTGAGTGCTAGGGAGAAAGGAGATATATAAGTCTGTGTTTCTATTCACAGAAACCTATCTAACATCTACACTGGGTGATGCTTGCTGCAACCTTTTAATGGGAAAATGAGAGACTTACTTGAACACACCCGTCACACAACAGAATGTCTATACCATTAAAGGGAATGAAATTAGCTGTCTATAGTGGTTCTACAGGAGAAAACAAATGAAAGTTAAGGAACTTCACAGACAGTTAAGAGCCTTCTAATGCATTTTTAAACTGTTACCATGGAGACTTTCTTTCCTGTAAAGAAACAGTGAAAAATTTAGAAAATGAACTAACAAAAATCCCATAGGAAAAAGGCTAGTCATAAGCTGTCTCCTTATGACCATGCAGCAGATTTCTGTTTGGAGTTCTGCATCAGTGCTGGGAGAGTACAGCAGAGCCTTGATGCTGTTAGGCTTTGGAAGAACAGTGAGTGGCCCGTCAAAGACTGTCTGAGACCCTGTTTCCTCAGCTTGCCC